CTCCTTTCCTTCAGGCCCCGCCCCTCCTTCCTACAGGCCCCGCCCCTCCTTCCTACAGGCCCCTCCCCTTGACTTCGGGCCCAGTTTCCGGAACGCGTGGTGGTGTGGGCAGCACGTGGGCGCGACTAACCCAGGGTGGCGTCGGGGGGAATTGCGGTGACATTTGCTCCAGGGTTGGTTGGTTGGTCACAGGCTTGAACTTTCTTTACAATAGTTTCCATTGTGTGGTGGTGGTGGAGTGGGGGGGGTGTTTATCCAATAGATTCAGGGATTTAATCTCCCGATCTTTGTTTTGTTCTCCCGAGTTTCTGGTAGACTTGGAATAATAGGCACGTGCCGAAGTCGCCACATGGATGGAGTTAGAGAGATGTTATACTTGTTGTATAACATCCTGTCGATGTGCCAGACAGACCCGGCTGGTATTAAGACCTGAATAGATTGTAAATACTGTACGGTCGTAATTCAGATAAGGTATGTACCAAAGCATGGTAAAAGCTGGAATCTCTTAACCACACTAACTTCGATTCGTAACTTAATGTGAATCAACGCCCATAACTCTCAATTGAGACGCACAAACGCATGTAAAATTAACATTCGGTGATACGGTACTGCGTAAATGTGGTTCATGTGCAAAAAAACACCGGTTACAATGTTGACTTGAAGCTTTCGTGACTGCAGGAATCCATACTGTTTGGTTCTTTCGGTAAAGTCACGTAGGCAGAAAAAAATAAAATATCGCGACGTTTCGAACACAAGCGACCGTCTTTCTCTCACCTGAAGACGGTCGCTTGTGTTGCGATCGAAACTTTGTGATCCATTATGTTTTTCTACCTACGTGACTTTACCGACACACCTGATGATGACCGTTTGAGTTATGGTCGAAACGTCGTGAGAATTTTTTATTGTTTTATATATATTTTGTTATTTTGTTGTTTCTCTTCAACGTGACTTTACCGAAAAAACTAAGAATATAGTATGGACACCGGTTACAGTAAAGTGTTGGCAAACATACAGGGCGTTTTAAAAAGATGGACGCGATTTGAAATCGCTCTATCTCTGTAACCACGAACCACCCATGAATGAAACTCTTACCACTTGAAAGGTCGGGGCACATGGTTTCAAATGATGACCGCCAGATGCCTCTCCCAGCGCACAAACAACCCCTAGCCTCAGTCATTCACAAGACAACACCGCCTCAACCTTGAATAGGTCGCACAGGACCCCAAGACTTGTCGCTACACTCTTGGCCCCAAAGATCCCCAGACATCACCACACCCTGCGACTTTTTCTTGTGGGGATACGTCAAAGACCCGTGGTGTTTTTGTGCCACCATTAGCGACTAATCTGGATGACCTCAAAAACAAAATCACGGCAGCGGTGACTTCATTGGAAGAGAAGACTTCACTTTCAGAGGCGTTTGGGACGAATTCAACTATCGCCTCGATGTTGTCCGTACAGCAGGTGGAGGGCACATAGAGCATTTATAAAATGGTTAGTAAAACTCGATAACTCATTAAACCATTTGTAACTTTTTGTGTAATTGTAACATGTTGCCATCGTGAAATATACTGCTTTGAAATTGGGTCCAAATTTGCAAAACACCCTGTACTACAGTACTTCTGTAATTCGTTTGCAGTGGACAGCTCGTGAAGATTGCCCAAATACCTCGACGTTTCGTCGAATTCGGAGATTATCTGATGAAATAAAATGCTTTCAGCGAATCGGAACCAGCGTGGATTCGCATAAAGTTGGTTACGCGGATCTCAGATGCGTACTAGACTGTTGAATTTTGGAAACTTTGATTCGCAACTTCATTACAAATCAGTCTGTCATAATCAGCCATGGTCGATCTGCTGCTGGATGAACGCATTCGAAGTCGCCTTCACCCCTCCACACGATCTTGCGATGCAACAATAAAAATCCACTCAGCACCTGCACACCGTCGATTTAATGGAATGCGGTTTATATGAATTATACATTGTCCAATAAACTGTTGGCAGATTAACGAGGAATTTGATGCGACAGTATTTTGAAATATAAGAAAGTACATTTAAAAGGAATCCCAATAACGATGAGGGAAGGAAATAGACAAAGATAAGACCGTGTTATGTAAGTATGTTGAACTTCTTTCGCACCGTACGTAGCCAACCATGCTCATCGGAGACGTGGCGGAAGGACAACAAACTGACACAAAAATCGGTTTTAAATCAATGAGTTTTAAATCTACTAAGACAGGAACTAAAATAATTTTGTCTTCTTTGGTTCTTTCGGTAAAGTCATGTAGAATGAGAATAAAATAATAAATGTATAAAATTAAATAACACAATAAAATTCTCACGAAACGTCGTGAGAATTTTATTGTGTTATTTTATTAATTTATTATTTTATTCTCATTCTACGTGACTTTACCGAAAGAACCAAAGAAGATGAATCCTTGCAGTCACGAAAGCTTTAAATCGAAATTTAAAATAATTTTGCTTTCGGGAAACCCTGAAGCAACTGTTCAGGTTATTTGAAAATGATGCAGGGAAGGGAGATGAGTGGTGCAGTGGTTCATGAACTTTACTCTGAACCAGGTGCCCTGAGTCCGATTGGTAGCCCGACTACGGCTAATATCAGTGGTACATCATATTTAAACCGTCCTTGGCCACCACACCCCTCCACCAACCTACACTGACCAGCTTGTTGGAAGCATGGTCAAACAACCCCCATCCGGGGGGGGGGGGGTGGGGGGGGCCTTCGTGCAGAATTGGATCGACGAATGATTGTATTATAATCATGCCATTGTGGAGTTGATGTGCCTACTTTTAATTATATACCAAATTGTGGTTAGGTCATGGTCTACGGTGGCTTACAAGCGACCGTTATACACCTTTGAACTTCTCGTACAAATATTGGCATGGTAAGTAACAAAACGATCATAGCCCAGATGTAAAATGAAATAAATGTAGTCAAAATAAAGAGTATTGTTTCCAGCAAATGTGGGATGGATTTTTGCATACGTATAGATACCCCAATTGAATATGGTCAATTATTTAGCTTGTACATAACGTTATGCTAATATTTAGCTTGCAGTGTCTTCATCCAGTTCTCAAATCATGTCGTTTATTTCAATTCGTAGTTACAATGACTTAAGTCATCAGCAAATCTGAGATAGCTACTAATTTCCCGGTCTGTATTTACGTCTTAATTTCTGCATCAATTGGCATTTGAGTCAAATTAATTGTCATAATCTAAGATTGGGCATAATAGTAATTGATATTTCGATTTAAAGCTTTCGTGACTGCAGGGATTCATCTTCTTGGTTCTTTCGGTAAAGTCACGTAGAAGGGAAATAAAATAAGAATAAAAATAAAACAATAAAATAAAATTCTCACGACGTTTCGGCCACAACACAAGTAGCCGTCCTCAGGTGAAGAAACAGAACTGTCTTTCAGACAGTGCTTCAAGGAGCGCTGTCTTATTATTTCCCTTCTACGTGACTTTACCGAAAGAACCAAGAAGAGGAGTAATTGATATGTATTTATTTGTGTTTCCCAGGTCCTGAAAACCTTAGCTTAACCCGGCTTTATAATGTGGTTTGTTGGCCTTGACATTTCCCTTTATTCTGTTCCCATTGACATTTGTGAACAAATTGTGTGTGATAAGAAGAAGTCAATGGGTGTGTACTTCAAGTCAGTTCCATCACCCTAACCAGCAGTGGAAAGGTCTTCACCAATGGGTTATGACAGTAAAATCATACTGCCACGTTTCATCAAATAAACGTTCTTCTGGAGGACATTTAGCAGAACATTTAAGTTAATGTACCATTGCGGTACATAATAAATAACAGGTGCCAGATTGTTTTAACTTAAAACACACTTGGTAAGCAGAAAGCTAAAATAAATTCGTCTGGGGTGATAGACAAGTCAACAACAGTAAAAACAAGTTCTACAAAAATAAGTTACTACGAGTCAACAAGACTATATGATGCCAAGTTAACGGCTGCACACAAGAGGCTTGCACATAACAAGTTTGTACGTAACACATGAGGCCCAGTGGTAGCAATGTTTTTGGCTATGAGACAAAAGTGACTGACTGGGTGGAGTGATGGCGCAGTGGTTGGGTCACTGCGTTTGACACGGGGATTCGGATAATTTGTTCGGCGAGGTCGATCATTCAGTTCGCAGAGGGAGCGGGCTCGAACTCAGAATCAATTGACATCTTGTCCTCTGACTGAATTAAATTCCCACGCTTCACTTTACCAACTCACGCTGACCAGCGTGGTGAAATATGGTCAAAGAACAGCCGCAACCAACGCACCGTGGGAAGGGCTTCATCCAGCAGTGGATTGACGAAGTACTGTGAATCTATCCTCGCGCGTCTCTGAAGAAAGTCTCAGCCGACGATAAACAATCCACATCATTCCATTGGCATGCGCGCGTGTGACCCACGTACGGGAGAGACAATGAAATGACTCAGTAAATTAGGTGACTGAACAAACTCCTTTTGCTTTCCCCACCACCACCTCCTCCCCACCATCTCCTCCCCACCACCACCCCCTCCCCACCACCACCTCCCCACCACCACCTCCCCACCACCTCCTCCTCCCCACCTCCTCCCCACCTCCTCCTCCCCACCACCTCCTCCTCCCCACCTCCCCCCCACCACCACCTCCCCACCATCTCCTCCTCCCCACCTCCTCCCCCCCACCACCACCTCCCCACCATCTCCTCCTCCCCACCTCCTCCCCACCTCCTCCCCACCTCCTCCTCCCCACCCTCCCCCCCACCACCACCTCCCCACCATCTCCTCCTCCCCACCTCCTCCCCCCCCACCACCTCCTCCCCCCCACCACCACCTCCTCCTCCCCACCTCCTCCCCACCACCACCACCACCTCCTCCCCACCACCACCTCCCCACCACCTCCCCACCACCATCTCCCCACCACCACCTCCTCCTTCCTACTCACTCCAAATCCTCCCCCCGTTCCCCACGGCAGAGTGGTTGCGCCCGCGGAAGCCGGATGGTCCTAGGGTGTGACGGCTCCCCCCCACCACCACCCACGGCCACTACCACCACCACCACAGAAGCCTCGCAGCACAACCCGGCCACTGGCATTGTTGTAGCGTTGCATTGAAGACGGCGGCACACCAACGTTGACAATAGTGAAGTGACATCACACACCGCACTCGCATTGTTTGTCGTGGGGATACTGAAGGCATCAACACACCAGCGTTGACAACAGTGAGTGTGACATCACACACCGCACTCACATTGTGTAGTGTTGTGTTAAAGACGGCAACAGTGAGTGTGACATCACACACCGCACTCACGTTGTTTAATGTTGTGTTGAAGACATCAACACACCAGCGTTGACAACAGTGAGTGTGACATCACACACCGCACTCACGTTGTTTAATGTTGTGTTGAAGACATCAACACACCAGCGTTGACAATAGTGAGTGTGACATCACACACCGCACTCACATTGTTTAATGTTGTGTTGAAGACATCAACACACCAGCGTTGACAATAGTGAAGTGACATCACACACCGCACTCACATTGTTTAATGTTGCGATGAAGACATCAACAGTGAGTGTGACATCACACCACGGCTCAGATTGTGCGTTGACAATTGGTGAAGTGACATCACACACCGCACTCACATTGTGTCGTGGGGATACTTAAGACAGCACACCAGCGTTGACAACAGTGAAGTGTGACATCACACACCGCACTCACATTGTGTAATGTTGTGTTGAAGACATCAACAGTGAGTGTGACATCACACACCGCACTCACATTGTGTAATGTTGTGTTGAAGACATCAACAGTGAGTGTGACATCACACACCGCACTCACATTGTGTAATGTTGTGTTGAAGACATCAACACACCAGCGTTGACGACAATGACAGCACACCCCAGTACACTCGGGCTCACCCCGGCAGTCACATCGTGTCGCAGTGTATTGGCGGTGGATAAGATGTTTACTCCCTCGCTTGGTACACAGGAGGTCGTGGGTCTCGATCCCGACCCTGACTCTTGCTGTATATTTGGAGTTTGCGTGTCTCTATCCCCATGTTCGCTTGGATTTTTCCCCCCCACATTTCCACGTGATAAGCCACTTCGTTGAACTATCGTTTGTGGCCAGATCGCTTCTGAAAAGGAGCTATATTGCTCAGTGGGCCTTCTCTAATTAAACAAATATATAGTTTCGTTTAATAGTTTGTAAACAGCACACCGGCGCTGACACTCTTTCAAGCATCTCAGCGTTGCCAGCACACATTATCAATGTACAGACCAGCAATAACATAAATTACACCATACCCAACATTTCACGTTGCCTAACTGTGCATGATTTACCAGCATGACACCACCAGGATCCACGTCGTCATACCAATAGCAACACCACCAGCGCTTGCGCCATACGCGAATATTCACAGCAGAAACAGCAGACTCCAGTACATTTACATTGTAATCACCAGCAATTCAATTCACTCTGTCGACATTAGCGCACTCGCGTTTACAATTCACGACTGTGCGAGGCAAAATCAGCATTAACCTCGGACTGCCATTCACATCACGCATCCACAATTGTAACATTGTACACAAAACAAGAGCATTTGTACCACCACGCACACACACACATACACCGTTAATCACATCAGCAATCACAACACATCACATAAATCACATCTCACAACAGAAATCACACACCAGCAATCGCACAACACACCGGAATTCAGATCACACGCAACATTAATTACGTAACAACTCAGCAATGACATTGTAGTACTGTATTGTAAATAATACACCAGCAATCACATCACCCAGACCACAAATTACATCACGCGCACACCAGCAATCACAATGTTGCGTTGTATACAATGCACCAGGCATCACATCACACACCCCAGAAATCACACAATACACAGTCAATCTCACCACATACAAGATAAATCACACCACACTGACCAGCAGACAAATCCCACAAAAGCAACGCATCACGCATACCGCTAATTACATTGGAATATTACACACAGTTCTGTAAGCGCCAACATTCACATCGCACTCACATGCGTGTGACATTTGCTCAGCTACTGTTGTCCCGTTGTTTTCTATTGCATGTACACACACGTACATACACACACACAGTACATATACACTGTTGGTTTTTTTCCAGGATTTTTTCTGTTTGCGCATAGTCACTTTAAGATGTTTTCTTGTTCATGTGTTTTTGTTTGTTGCGGTTGCACCCGATTCAAGAGCCAAATGGCTCACGGGGGCTTTACCAAATAAATGAAACTGAAATAAATGAAACTGAAATGAAACGTGTGAAACCCACAGGGACAGCTCGTGATCACAGCTCTTCCGATGTAGGGATGATGCACCTGGTGACAACAGCACAGCGGTGATTCCAAGGTGCGCAAAGGTGAGTGAGTTTTACAATGCACGTGTACCATATGCAAGGATTTGACATGAATTGCTTATAAAGATCATGTGTTCACACAATGCACCTATCTAAATACTCATGTGGTTTGTTGGCTGTTTAAGGTATTGTATGTACATATACAAGCTATTTTTCTCAATCCACTGCTAGATCAATGCCTTTCTCATGCTGTGCGCGTTTGGGTGGGTTATTTATTTGAACGACCATATTTCACAAAATAATCATCAGCAAAATAGTTCAGCGGACAATATCTTCTTCGTATTTTGGTTTCTCTATATAGCAAATTAAAGTACATTTTACAAAACCCACCAGGCCCTACGGCCTCCTTAGGAGTGCATAGTTCATTAACATTGAATAAATGATGCTGTGTTTATTATTTTTTTATGACCACACTTCAGCACGCTAGTTAGTGTTGGGTTTGTAAAGGTGGGGAGCAATAGACGTCAGAACATATAAGTACAGCACAACCTTTAATGTACTGCATGGGGCAGTACATTAACACAGCATTCAATCTAGAACTTACACATTCACATCACATGTAGAGTGAATGCATGCACATTGCATTATTATATTGTGGTTGTAATAGACTTGTGCTGGCCATAATGCACATGATGATTCAATATGTGTGTAAAGTGTTTGGAATAGCGTGTCTCTAAAAGCCTCGTGTGGGTTTGATAAATAATGCAGAGCACGCAAAAATATCATACAAAGCGTTGCCTCTATATATATAGAGAATTTACATTTAAAGACAGTGTTATTTGCATTGAGCCCCCTATACAAGGATTTCATGCACGCCGAGTTGATTTATTTTTGCCTATAGCCCCCGTGGAGGGCTCACTTTTCACCAGAGTATCATGTCCACATATCAAAGGGAATTGATAATGTGATGTGTATACCTAAATATTACAATTTACAATGTGGATTCGTAATATAACATCTAAATGTGACAAAATCTCGAGACAAGTAGTGGGCATATTTATTTTATTTAGAAAAAAAGAGTCAGTCATAGGCAGTATTGTCTTGAGTTTGGACTTGAACGGAGGCAGGGCGTCGATAACACGGAGGGCTGGGGATAAGGGAATTCCAGATGATGGGGACAGCAGAGGAGAATGAGTGATATCCCATTGTATGATTAGTGATATCCCATTGTCCGGTGGGCAACGTGCGGTGTGAAAGAAGTTCAACATACATTGTGAGAATGTTAACTGGCCGCTTTGAAATAATTCCTTGTTTGCTGGAGCTGAGCGTGCTTGAAAGGGAGTATAGTCCAATGTAAGGGGAAGAGAGGTAGGCGTGTAGGCGGAAGATGTGTACAATTCTGTATGTGTGTACGTGAGCAAACAGTATCTGTTTTTGTACTGTACTTACGTAATTGTGTTGCATTCCATTTGCACTTGTTATTGTGGCCATTATGGCTTTTTAACAAATGGTGTGCGTGATTATTCTTGCGTCTTATGTGTGTTCCCTTTAATGTAGCAACAGTGCCAGTGCGTATTTACACCATTCGTGCCCATGTTATCAAATTGATGTCCATCCGTACAGCAACGCCTTGTGCAAATTGTGTCGTTTCCGCCAGCAGTGTTGGCTTGTATCGTGCACGTGTGTGCACCGTTATTCCTGTTAACTCCACCATTGTGCATTTGCACCGTTTGTGTGTATGAGTGTGGCTCTGCAACAACGTGCGAGCCCACACGACAGAGAGAGTCACCCTGCGTTTGCCCGTTGAATAATTAGGGTTAATTCTGCAGTGGTGCGTCGTGTCAGTACTGAGGATTTGTAAGTGGGCAGTTCCATGATTTCGGTTGTACCTTTGAGATATTTTAAACATATAAGTAATCATTAGCATTTGCATGAAGTAGATTTTTATTTGGTCATAGTTTTTCGGACTAATTCAAATTGACATAATTTGTCCACCTTCCTTGATAATGAAACATTTTACTGTGCGGTTGCATAATAAGTTGAACTACCCCAGTATAACATTCATCGCTATGCCAGTAAGCAGTCAGTCCATGGTGTGACTTGGTAATTTCTGTGGGGAATTACAAAAGCACACCATCTGCCTCTAAGTGGACTTTAAAGATCCCCATGACATCATTCTTGGGTATATGCCATTGTCTGTCAGCACCCTAGTCTAAAATTAAAATATAGATTAAAATTTAAAAATAAAATAGATCATATATAATAAAATGAAAACTGTTCTTACATAGCTACATCCTCCCTTGTTGCATCTATGTACAGTGAGGGAAAAAAGTATTTGATCCCCTGCTGATTTTGTACGTTTGCCCACTGACAAAGAAATGATCAGTATATAATTTTAATGGTAGGTTTATTTGAACAGTGAGAGACAGAATAACAACAACAAAATCCAGAAAAGCGCATGTCAAAAATTTTATAAATTGATTTGCATTTTAATGAGGGAAATAAGTATTTGACCCCCTCTCAATCAGAAAGATTTTCTGGCTCCCTTTAAGAGAGTGCTCCTAATCTCAGCTCGTTACCTGTATAAAAGACACCTGTCCACAGAAGCAATTAATCAATCAGATTCCAAATTCTCCACCATGGCCAAGACCAAAGAGCTCTCCAAGGATGTCAGGGACAAGACTGTAGACCTACACAAGGCTGGAATGGGCTACAAGACCATTGCCAAGCAGCTTGGTGAGAAGGTGACAACAGTTGGTGCGATTATTCGCAAATGGAAGAAACACAAAAGAACTGTCAATTCTCCCTCGGCCTGAGGCTCCATGCAAGATCTCACCTCGTGGAGTTGCAATGATCATGAGAACGGTGAGGAATCAGCCCAGAACTACACGGGAGGATCTTGTCAATGATCTCAAGGCTGCTGGGACCATAGTCACCAAGAAAACGATTGGTAACACACTACGCCGTGAAGGACTGAAATCCTGCAGCGCCCGCAAGGTCCCCCTGCTCAAGAAAGCACATACATGCCAGTCTGAAGTTTGCCAATGAACATCTGAATGATTCAGAGGACAACTGGGTGAAAGTGTTGTGGTCAGATGAGACCAAAATGTAGCTCTTTGGCATCAACTCAACTCGCCGTGTTTGGAGGAGGAGGAGGAGGAATGCTGCCTATGACCCCAAGAACACCATCCCCACCGTCGAACATGGAGGTGGAAACATTATGCTTTGGGGGTGTTTTTTCTGCCAAGGGGACAAGACAACTTTACCGCATCAAAGGGATGATGGACGGGGCCATGTACCGTCAAATATTGGGTGAGAACCTCCTTCCCTCAGCTAGGGCATTGAAAATGGGTCGTGGATGGGTATTCCAGCATGACTAATGACTCAAAACACACGGCCAAGGCAACAAAGGAGTGGCTCAAGAAGAAGCACATTAAGGTCCTGGAGTGGGCTAGCCAGTCTCCAGACCTTAATCCCATAGAAAATCTGTGGAGGGAGCTGAAGGTTCGAGTTGCCAAACGTGAGCCTCGAAACCGTAATGACTTGGAGAAGATCTGCAAAGAGGAGTGGGACAAAATCCCTCCTGAGATGTGTGCAAACCTGGTGGGCAACTACAAGAAACGTCTGACCTCTGTGATTGCCAACAAGGGTTTTGCCACCAAGTACTAAGTCATGTTTTGCAGAGGGGTCAAATACTTATTTCCCTCATTAAAATGCAAATCAATTTATAACATTTTTGACATGCGTTTTTCTGGCTTTTTGTGTTGTTATTCTGTCTCTCACTGTTCAAATCAACCTACCATTAAAATTATAGACTGATCATTTCTTTGTCAGTGGGCAAACGTACAAAATCAGCAGGGGATCAAATACTTTTTCCCCCTCAATGTTGAATCTCAACACCGTGCCAATTGTGTATATTAAACGTTATTTTGCTTGGAGGATGCAATGTTGTAAAAAAAAATTCACTCAACAGCATGCGTGATGTTCCTGGGATGTATAAAGCCCATTTAAAGCTAAATGAAAGTCTTGACTCTCCTGGGGGATTCACAGGGATGATTCGTTAGCGTGTCTGAGATTTAATTGACCTGGAGTGAGGTTTTAGCCAGGGCACTGGGGTCAACACCCTTGGGTTTGCCACAAAGCGCCACGGGATCCACACAATTTTTACTGAGTGGGATGGACCCACGTTTAACGTCTCTTCTGAAAAGCGGCTCGTATTACAATGTCACCATCCACTCTTCCACATTATTGGCTGTTTTGTCCCAGAAGGAAGACCACGCCTTACCACTGCTTCATACCATAACACGATGGTCTAATTTGGTGGCTATGCATCACATTTATATTGCACCCAGATGCTGATATGAAGGATAGGGTGGCATGTGTGATATCTGGAAGTATTTATTCAGTCGCCCCGCAATTTAAATATAATGCCAGTGTAATGTATAACTGTACAAAATAAGAAAGGATGGACCACCATATGGAAGGTTACAAGTGGCTACTGTTACATTGTGGTATTATATTTCAGATAGATAGATCTACTGCTTTATTTATGAGGACAGACCCACTGAAGTCCAGTATGCAATATTGTCCATTAATTCTAGTCCTCCATATTGCCTAAATGAGCCAGCCCATTTTTATAAACTTTGACACAAGGTGTTGCCAACAAATGATCTATTTTGCTATTCTCCCTAGTTATATCCCAATTGTGCTATCCGTGTCATTTGTAACTCTCACAGAGCAATACAACCATCAACCCACTACACCTGGGACCTCGGTTTAATTACAGGCGACTGCTCATATTCAAATTCAGGATCTCAGTTCTCACCTCAGCGTTCTGACCTCTGAGCCACCTGGCGATCTCAAATTTACGTTGTATTCGGAATCCCTGGTTAGATTCAACACTCGTCAAAACTTATGGAGGGTTTTAGGGGAAAATGCAAACACAAAATAACCTTTGTAGATAAATGCCAAGGCTGACTGACATGCGTTTTAAGCTATGATGTAATTGACATATATTTCAATAGACCAATGCAGTTATGTGCACCGAGTACAGTAATGGTTTGCATGATCTTAACTTTAAAGTATTTTTTTTGTCATGAATGAAGATTAATATTTGTGTTGGACAACGCATGACACACACACCAGCAACATGTTTATCTATAGATGAAGAGCAATACATTTTTGGGTTTGTATCTTCGTTTAAGGTAGGTCAAGGAGGATACGAGTTGAAATGGCAAGCATCTGCAGATTTTAAGAGCAATTTTGTCCGGACAGTGTTGACAACCCGACCCATGTAATAGCTGCACTTCATAATATCATGCGAGTCATATACTGTATATGGAGAGTTATGACCTGCATAGCTGATCTGCAGTCAGTCTTTACAGCTGGGAGCCCACCTGCTTGAATGCATTTTTTGTGTACACAACGATACATTTGAAAACCTTGGGTGGCGCATTTAAAATATTTGTTGGAAATTAATAAACATGGGGGGGGGGGGTTAGGAAAAATATTACTGTGATGCATCTCGGAATTGACTGAATATGTTCAAGCATTACGCCCAGCACTGGTTTAATCCACTCATCCCTGGCTGTCTTTCACTCTGACAGGACTGCAGAGTGCAAAGGTCAGATGGGACTAATGTAATGGATTGATTGATTTACAGTTTTGCATGGAACTTGCATTAATTACAGCAGACTTTAGAACACTGTAAATTCAAGTGTCAGTGTCATGGGACACTGGCGTTGCAACTCTAGCTCACCCACTCTTGAATTTACATGGTCCCAAAACTATTTCTTCTGTTTTTTTCCTCACACTGCTCAACTTTGGAACTCCCTCCCATTATCTCTTTTCCAAAGTTAGTTTAACCTTGCTCAATCCAAGTAATATATTAACTCTTATCTATTTTTCCCTTCAATAGTACTGTTTGTTGCTGGCCGCTTGTAATTTTTGGGCCTTTGGCCCTGTTCTCAGAAACAACGATTTAAATAAATAAATAAATATTACGTGAACTGCTATGTCAATTTGACCGTAACACACTCCCATCGTCTCATCAATGAGCTCTGCCTCACACATCTGACGTAGGGAAAGCTGTAAATGCGAGGACAGATCAATCTGTCCTCTCTGCCCGCAGGGCCCCGAAGGTTAACCCCAGTACGCACCAACATTGCAGTATCCTGGTTACATAAACTGCTAGCCGTGCTGGGGTAAACGTGATGCTATCAGGTCTTTCCAACGTCTCTGTTGAAAAGGGCGTTGCATAATGAAAGGTGTGGAACCAGCAAGGTTGCATACCTAGACCTCATTTTCTTGTGATGTCACTGGAGGTAAATGGCAATATCAATCATGGGGAAATTAAGCGTGTTGCACTGTATTTTAACGGTAACACTCCTATAGTACAGTGTTCTGTGTGGTATCGAACATTAAATGGCTCTGGATTTGGATTCAATGTGAAACCGATGTTTCTTCTATCTGTTTAATTAGTATGCCCCCCCCAAAATATGAAAAAGCTTAGTAGATACGCGCTTCTTCATAGTAATTAACTGATTTGATTCTCTACCACGTCTTTACCCGTACCCCCCCCCCCCCCTTACTACCCGCACTGACCAACATTGGGAAATATGGTCAAACAACCCCCATGAACCAACGGAAGTAGATTGAAAAAGGGCTCTAGTTATATATTTTTGGGCTAATTACCGTGTATCAAAAATGTAAATATTTAATGGACAAAAAAAATTGCCGGACTTTATCCTAATTAGGGTTGGCTCGTGCCGTTGGGGAAAAGTCCTGCATGGAGGGCACTGATCTAGCACTCTCTGCCAGTGAGGATGGCGGGTGGAGGGTGGACTCATCCCCCTCTTTGTGACCTTACACGCATCTCATCTGCCCATGCTTGATTTATCAGTTCCCGCAGTACTGCGCTCCCATCCTGTGTCGTGTGGCTGCCTAGGACAAGGCGTCTGCCGTTACACGCGTGCCTCAATCATGACGAATTAACGTGCACCTGGACATTTTTGTGCGAGCCCGAACGGCGCCGTACTCCCGGGCTCTGTCGTCGGAGCCGCCCGAGTGAAAAGCGTTGCTCATTTGCCAAGGGAGTTCACCACCCCCCCCAGGGCTTGAACGTCTCCTCTGGGTGCAGCGTATATGTTAAGAACTTTCTTTGTTGATTTGATCGCGCCTGGTTATTTGGCCTGTTGTTTGCCGCAAGCAGGGGCGCGGTGTTGTGCATACCTGAGGTCCACCACATTTGTAGGCAAGGGTTAGTGGATCACGAGTAAATTTGTGATACTTCCAAACGCGTTTCACGGTGGCTAGGGGATGGAAGTGCAGCAAATGGGCTGTTAAAACTATCTGTTGCGGACCATAAAATGTTATTCACTGGTACACGTGGGTTTTGTCCAGGTACTTTGTTGTCTTTTCCCATACCAAACAGTCATTCATGGTATTGGCCAACTATCCCAATGTAGGATGCTCCTGAAATAGTATTTGAAACTCAGTGAGGTTTTCCTGCATAATTCAAAGGCACTATTAATTCGTAATTTGCTTTTTTATTTAATGAGCTGAAGCCCTCTTGGCTAAATGTGGGGAGCTTTGAGTATTACCTCCTGTACGCATGGTAGGTTATCTCCAGGTACTCAGGCTTATTCCATTTTAATAGACTATCCCAACCCTAAACGTCTGGAAAAGTTTTGAGACATGGGGTAACAGACGGGACCTTGCTTTCCCCTCCCCGTCTTACCTTTTGCCCCACCACTCATGTTCTCTGTTCCATTAAGGCTTCCCGTGTATCCGCTCCCTGGCCGTGCCTGCGGAGGAGAGTGGCATGGCTACAGGGGGGATGCCCAATGAAAACCTGCCCACCTACAAGGTGAGCACGCTTTTCATTCGTTTGTATTTGTTGAACTTTTTTTTTAAATCTCAAATGGTCACAATAAGTAACGTGAACATTTGCAGACATTGATATTGCAAAGCGTGACTTGATTCTAAGAAAAATCTGGCAAGATGTGCGAGTGTTAGTGTGGATTCATATAGTGGAGTTAAGGGGATATGTTGGTGTGACGTGCAGTAAACCACGGCAAATTATTAGAATTAGATGGTGCTGGATATTCTTTCGTCATATTTTCATTAATATTGAACCATTGTTATTGGTTCCATAAAACACATTTACATTATAACATAAACCATCTATAAAGAGTACCGTAAGCCTCATTATCATGCACAACAGCGCAGCGTGGTTGGCATGAGCCTTGGTGGAAGGAATCAAGTGGAGCCCCCTGACCAATTTCCCCCTCCTCCTCGTAGCGCAGCACCTGGGCCCCTCCGGCACGTGGGCGCCGTTGCAACTTCACCACCTGTACACTTGATAGCTTAACATTGATCGTGCGAGTGCACGTGGCGCTAGAGTTGGTTACATGTCACGTGTTGCTGTCGCCTTCTCGGAGGTGGTGGTGGTGGGTGATGGCGGTGTCGGGAAGAGCGCCCTCACCATCCAGTTCTTCCAGAAGATCTTCGTAGTGGACTATGACCCCACCATCGAGGACTCGTACATCAAGCACACGGAGATCGACGGCCAGTGGGCCATCCTGGACGGTACATCCAGCCCACTCACCCACGCAGCCTCCCACGTAGATGTCCATCACCATAGCATGACCGCTGTGTGCATAATTACGTAGTGATTCAATACAGCATCCCTAGTGAGAATTTTTTAAACTAGCAAGTGAGACAATATGCAGTCCTTTCATGTTGATTATTATCAATAATAATTAACAGCTGTGTGTGAATTCTCTGCCAGATGATGGCATCCCCATCCTGGCTTGGTCATGGGGATTGTTTGACCATGCTTTATCATGCTGGTCAATATTGGTTGGTCCAGGAGATGCCGAGCAAATGGTTCACATCTCATACACCACTGATGCTGGCCATGATCGGGAATCAAAACTCAGGTGACCAGGTTCATAGCAAATTGCACAAGCAACTGCACCACCGCTCACATTAATTACATGAATATTGGTCCTGTTATGTCCCCTCCATGTCTCAAATTCCTGAGCATGTTCCTCCTTTACCTGACCTTTATCTGCCCATGTTGTGGCATTAATCTTTCTGGGCTTTTCACTCAAATCGAAATGATGAATATTTAATGTTTCTATTTCCATTAAAGGAATCAATTTGTTTTTATAATAGCCATTAATTTTAAGTTGCCATTTATTTATCCAGCAAAGCCTCAATGAGTCTCAAAGACTCTTTTCAAAAGGATCCTCCATTGGAATATTTGGCCAATATCATTAATGCGTGTTTGGTATGTAGGAGGAAATTGGAGAACCTGTAAAAAACCCCACACATACCAGGGGATTACACTGAACATCTCCTAGTCACACAAAACTTACAAATTGGGTCTATTTTAATGCTCACTAATCTCGCTGTGATATTGCTGCATTCATTCCCAGTGGTGCTGTGGTTATTGTCATTTATTCGCAGCTCTTCCACAGCTGTGATACGTGTGACACTGTTAAAAAATACATGTTGCGTCTCAGTGGGTTCACGCGCGTGTCTAAATTAAGCAATCATTCAATCCGTTCAAATCATTTAAAATTTAAAACTGACATTTACGGAAGGGAATGCAGTCTCAGTGACATTTGGCCCATGCCTTTCCCAGAACACCTTCAGTCTGTAACCGGTGAAAATGCGTTGCCTCATCTCGCCAAACACAATGAGGCGTCCTTGAAGTTGCTGCATAGTTTTTTTTTGTTTTTCGTGCCAGCAGCTTAAGGCGACCAGGCTTCTACCACAATAGCAGGATGTTCCATGTCACACAATTGTCGCGGTGCATATACATAGCACCGTCTGTATAATTAACGTACGTAATTTTTCCATTTCGCATATGACTTTAAAATACATGGCAAGACAAACTTTCAAAACCTAAAATGTATGATTCATTCATTCATTTTACACTGTACGGAAGAGTTATAAGGCATCACGAGGGATCTTGGGATTCAAAAAAGTTTAACAAATCATCAATTGATATGGATTCTTACAGTGAGGGAAAAAAGTATTTGATCCCCTGCTGATTTTGTACGTTTGCCCATTGAAAAAGAAATGATCAGTCTATAATTTTAATGGTAGGTTTACTTGAACAGTGAGAGACAGAATAACAACACAAAAAGCCAGAAAAACGCATGTCAAAAATGTTATAAATTGATTTGCATTTTAATGAGGGAAATAAGTATTTGACCCCTCTGCAAAACATGACTTAGTACTTGGTGGCAAAACCCTTGTTGGCAATCACAGAGGTCAGACGTTTCCTGTAGTTGGCCACCAGGTTTGCACACATCTCAGGAGGGATTTTGTCCCACTCCTCTTTGCAGATCTTCTCCAAGTCATTAAGGTTTCGAGGCTGACGTTTGGCAACTCGAACCTTCACCTCCCTCCACAGATTTTCTATGGGATTAAGGTCTGGAGACTGGCTAGGCCACTCCAGGACCTTAATGGCCATGTGTTTTGGGTCATTGTCATGCTGGAATACCCATCCACGACCCATTTTCAATGCCCTGGCTGAGGGAAGGAGGTTCTCACCCAAGATTTGATGGTATATGGCCTCGTCCATCGTCCCTTTGATGCGGTGAAGTTGTCCTGTCCCCTTAGCAGAAAAATACCCCCAAAGCATAATGTTTCCACCTCCATGTTTGACGGTGGAGATGGTGTTCTTGGGGTCATAGGCAGCATTCCTCCTCCTCCAAACACGGCGAGTTGAGTTGATGCCAAAGAGCTCCATTTTGGTCTCATCTGACCACAACACTTTCACCCAGTTGTCCTCTGAATCATTCAGATGTTCATTGGCAAACTTCAGACGGGCATGTATATGTGCTTTCTTAAGCAGGGGGAACTTGCGGGTGGTGCAGGATTTCAGTCCTTCACGGTGTAGTGTGTTACCAATTGTTTTCTTGGTGACTATGGTCCCAGCTGCCTTGAGATCATTGACAAGATCCTCCCGTGTCGTTCTGGGCTGATTCCTCACCGTTCTCATGATCATTGCAACTCCGCGAGGTGAGATCTTGCATGGAGCCCCAGGCCAAGGGAGATTGACAGTTCTTTTGTGTTTCTTCCATTTGCGAATAATCGCACCAACTGTTGTCATCTTCTCACCAAGCTGCTTGGCAATGGTCTTGTAGCCCATTCAAGCCTTGTGTAGGTCTACAATCTTGTCCCTGACATCCTTGGAGAGCTCTTTGGTCTTGGCCATGGTGGAGAGTTTGGAATCTGATTGATTGATTGCTTCTGTGGACAGGTGTCTGTTATACAGGTAACAAGCTGAGATTTGGAGCACTCCCTTTAAGAGTGTGCTCATAATCTCAGCTCGTTACCTGTATAAAAGACACCTGGGAGCCAGAAATCTTTCTGATTGAGAGGCGGTCAAATACTTATTTCCCTCATTATAATGCCAATCAATTTATAACATTTTTGACATGCGTTTTTCTGGATTTTTTTGTTGTTATTCTGTCTCTCACTGTTCAAATAAATCTACCATTAAAATTATAGATTGATCATTTCTTTGTCAGTGGGCAAACGTACAAAATCAGCAGGGGATCAAATACTTTTTTCCCTCACTGTAACTTCGTCATACATGCGTCAATTCACGTGTGTAAGAATCATTTGCTGTATGTAATGGTTGTAGTACTCATGCAATCACGAAAGGCATTCACAATGCATCGAAGTACAAACAATCTTACATTTAATTGAAACGCGACCATGAATTGTGCCAATTCATGCAATTGCCTGGGGTATGGGGGGGGGTCAATCATTCCACCTCTAAATACTAATCACACATAGTGCCAATAGGTGGCCTTGTAAAATTAAATCTCATTTTACAACCGGGTTCATAACCGTACATTTTTTGATGCGGTGTGATCACACAAACAGCTGTGCTGTACGATACTAATTTTGCCCTCGTTAAGGATCAACAGCACAGCAATGCATGCACTTTTGTTTGATGCCAGAGTGCGCCTGTTGGCTGAAGACAGTGTTGCATCGCTGTGGTGTTATGCAGCACATATATGTGCCACAGACAGCGATGGCGCAGGGAACGATGACACAGAAAGCAGCAGCAGCAGCAGCAGCTGCCGCTTGGTGCGGCTCAGCCATGGGAGCCCCATAATCCCTGCCAATTTCAGCACAGCTGTCGGTGCGATTGCCAGCACGCTGCAAATAATATAAATACATTTAGACAACAAATTTTCCCATGCCCCCCCCCCCCCCCTAAAAAAAAATCGATGACTTTACTTGACCTTGCAGCGTGAGAAATTAAGAGAGCTGCACCTGGCCACGCTATGCCGCTCGTAGATAAAGAGCAGCGTTGTTGGAGCGCACCGCCCGGGGAATGGCACCAGTGAGCTTCGCTCAACTCCACGCCTGACCGTGAATGACGCGTGTGGGTCCAAACGAATAAACAATTTGCATCGCCAGATTTCTAGTGCCGATATAATGAATGTCGTTCATCAACGTTACTCGCAACAACCAGTTATGGCATTGAATGTATGTGGATATTTTATGTATTTACTTTATGATGAACATGGGCATTGCCAAAGAAAATGGATCAAAAACTTAAAAGTGCACAAAGAATCATATGGGGAGGTGCACGCTTCGAATTGCACTGAGAAACAGGAACACAAAGGTTATATACGATACTAGCTGGACTACCCGGCTTCGCCCGGGACTTAGATCCACCACGCCCGGCCGACTTTGTCTCCCCAGTGGCGATGTTCACACACCACAGCAGTTACTCGTTTTGAGGCTGAGTCGACCTGGGGGAGGCCCAGGACCGGTTGAAATAATCGTCACCGGTGGTGGCCATGAGAGGGAATCGAACTCAGGTTGCCGGGTTCGTAGCGCAGCGTTACACTTCCACACACAACAGACACACACACACAGACACACACACAGATAGACACACACAGACACACACACAGACACACACAACAACAACCGCCATTCGCCACTAAGTGGCGGTGACGTCACCACGACGCTTGTGCCAGGACATGTGCACCTTGAGGCCACGTGGAGTGTCGAACGCCCGCTGGCAGGAGGTCACGGGGCAGACCCAGGTGCCATGGGTCGACTGACTGAGATGACTGGCTGATGCACCACCTGTGCCCCCTACTGTACCAACCTGCTGTGCTTTAGCCACCCGGCGCTCCGCTCGTTGTTGTGAGCGTCGCTCCTCCGCCCTCCGTTGTTGTTGGAGGGCGACTGCCTCCAACTGCCCAGTAGCGTCCTTCACGAGCCTCCTCTACAGAGGCCGATCTTGACACCGCTGGTACCAGTCATCGGCAAGTCCACTCAGCTCCACGTCCTCCTGTACCACATCACTCCATCTCTTCTCTAGCCCGTGCCGCGCCCGCTTAGCCCCCTCGATCCGGCCGAACAAAAGCTGTTTCGGCATGCGGTGGCTGGGCATGCGGGCTACATGACCCAGCCATCGCAGCCTTGCCCGCCGGAGGAGCTCACCGATGGGACCTTGCCCAGATCTTTCAAGGATTTGTGAGCTCCTCACACAATCCAGTCTGGTTAAACCCAGGATGGATCGTAGGCAGGCCAGCCTAAATGTTTCTAACCGGCGAAGATGTTCCATTAGGGGGGGTCCACGTTTCACAAGCGTAGAGAAGGGAGGGAATGACTGTGGCCGAGAAGACCTGAAGCTTAGTGCGGAGAGACAGACCAGGTAGCTTCCACACAGCGTTACGCAACCGATGAAAAGATATTGCCGCTCGACTGATTAGGAGTGAGACCTCTGCTGTTAAACTGGAGCCGGTCATAAGCACACTTCCCAGGTATGGGAAACTCTCCACTCTCTCCACAACTGCCCCATCACCAATTGGGAGTTGTGGGGGTGGAGTGTCCGATGGTACAAAATACCCAGGCAGGTGCTTAGTTTTGGTGGGGCTGATGGTAAGGCCCCATCTCTTAGTGGCACGCTCCAGTCTCAGCAGCAGCGTCTCCAACTCCTCCTCTGAATGAGCAGCTATTACCAAATCATCAGCATACATAACGTGGTTGAGCAATAGGGAGCCATCCCTTGACACACACAGACACACACACACACAGACACAGACAGACACACACACACAGACACATACACAGCGCCCTAACCACTACATTACAATGCGTTACGCTTCCACTTGCGCGGGTCACATGACAGATTTGACGTCACAGCTCACTTGCCATGCAAATAATATATGTATTATTGAGCACCCCCCCCCCCCCCAAAAAAAAGTGTCTTTTTTATAATTTTTGCATGGTGTACAGTCTGGAAAGTATCCACATGGCAGATTTCAAGTTTGTTGCATGTCGGGAAGTACGCTAAACATTTTCAACAGACACACATTCACAACTTTGCCTTTTATATATATGGAGATGAAAGTTACAAAGCATCATATTAACTGTTAAGAAAAGTACGTTGCCTTGGGGCAGGATACATCACGAAAAGGAAAATGGCCAGTGTTTGAAACTACCAAGGGAATGGCAGCCAAAGGGTGGAACGCACATTCGCCGCAGAGATGGAGCTTGTTGGCAGAAGCTAAATGGATTATTGCTTTGTAAGACTGTGAGAGATGGCAGCATTTTGGGGAATGCATTCATCCAATAGTGAATATTTCATAGCTGAAGATAAAAATATTAACTAAAGTGTATGATAACAAGTCCCCCTGTCAGTGTCCACATCCGTGTCCGTATCTATCGACGCTACTGGTGGACTTTCCCGACCTTCTGGCTGACCCCTAATCCTAACCCGAGCCCTGATTGTCCCCCCCCCCCCCTCCCCGTGCTTGCGCGGCTGTGCAGTGCTGGACACGGCCGGGCAGGAGGAGTTCAGTGCCATGCGGGAGCAGTACATGCGCACAGGCGATGGCTTCCTCATCGTCTACTCGGTGACGGACAAGGCGAGCTTCGAGCACGTGGAACGCTTCCACCAGCTCATACTGCGCGTCAAGGACAGGTGTGGGCACAGCACAAAGGGTAGAGGCACCCCGGTTGTTGCTATGGATGGGGGCAGCGGCGTAGCTATCGAGTGAGCAGGTGGCACAGCTGCAACCCCTCGGGCCCATGGGCTGGATGTGAAGAGGGGGGGTGGCAATTGGACAGAGGGGGTGGTGGGGGGGGCCTCAATTCATTCCTTGCACCAGGTTCCATGCCAACCATGCAACACAACTGGGATGGAGGTTGGGTGGAGAATGTTTCATTAAAATGTATTTGTTGTTCAAAATAATCCTCAATGCACTCACGAGTCACATTTATTCCTGGTTACACAACTCAAACCCTGAGCCTTCTGACCCTGCTGCTGTATTAATGAAGCAATGGCAATTTACTGCATACAACATTCTGTGCTGTCAATACAAATCTCTATAATGTATTCAAGTGAATGCTTTATGGAGATTATAATCATCAGTAATATTATTTACCTTAAACCATAGGACCTATTGGCCCCATTGTTAAATGTATCTTAGCTGCTGCTGCTGCCTGCACTAAACATACTAAAAGTTGCTCCGACCTATATTGTAGCCATGGGTTACGGATGCATGCAAGGAGAGAGATATCGGCAAAAATCGGAATAATTATAATTAAGTTTTTCTCTTTGTTAATTGTATGGCTAGACAGCACACCCATCTCTCCGGTGACACATGCAGTGTTGTGCAACTAATATGCTGCTTTATATGCAAACTTGTCTCTCTCCCTTTCCATTTCACATGCGTCAATGTCAAGGTTAAATTGTGAGAGAAAGAAAAACACCTCTCTTATTCTCTGCTTCGTGGAATAAAAGTGAGAATATAGGAGAGATGAATGTAAATCACAGGGAGAGACTTGAGTGGCTGGAATATGGAAGGACGGTGGGAGTGGAGTTACATAAGGAACAGGGGTTGAAAGGGGGAATTTGGCAAGAAAGTGAGGATCATGAGTTTACAGAACCTGTAAATCATATTTTTGTTAAACCAACGAACTCCAATCAAAAATGTCACAGATTTAGCTCATTCGCTTGGACAGCTGGAGTCAGATTGAATTGACCCGCGAAGACCTCTGCATACGGCCTCATCCCAAGCCAAGTAGCGGTTTTGCTCATTGTAAATAGAGTCTTTCACCTGCGACTAACATTTATTCCTGACCACGCAGCTCGTCACTTACCCCACCGACTTGACTGTTGTTGCCCATGATTACACAGAGACTCCTTCCCCATGATTCTGGTGGCGAACAAGGTGGATTTGATGCATCTTCGCAAGATCTCCTCTGAGCAAGGCCAGGAGATGGCTGCCAAGTACAGTGTAAGTTTGCCACCCTCCTGCCACTTTGTTAGGGTGGAGAAAGCGAATGGTTGTGTGGTGTGCATGGCCCCACAATCGCATTGGACACAGCATAAATTAAGTCACGCCGTGGGAAATATAAATGCAAACACTGCTCGAGTTGCGTCTGAGTTGTAATGTTGGGCCCTTTGTCAATCTGCGACTGGATTTAAATGTTTGAGAATTGTTCAGTATAATGTTTTTTTGTTTAAATAAATTGACACCTTGTTGAGGGTAAACACAGACCTTCTGTAGCATGAGCAATTCCCTTGTGGCTCTTTGGGCTGCCACCTCTGTGATACAAAAAAACAGGACATATCCTGGGAAGAAGAATATCGCACAATATTTGTGGAGGGGAGAACTGCATGTATATGCATTCAATTGGGTTGTTTCTTATTACACAATTGACAAAATTGGAGTCTTTTATTCCAAGATAACTTACATATTTAGCAGGACAGCTACCTCCAAAACAGTACATCCTCGGAAAATCAGCACAGGTGGCAACGCGAGTGGCTGCATGTGATAGTTGAGTTCACCTGTTGGAGTATTTTGTACTCACTGCTGACAGAATTCTCATCTCATGCAGATCCCCTACATTGAGACAAGCGCCAAGGATCCACCGCTCAATGTCGACAAGGCTTTCCAGGAGCTGGTCCGGGTGATACGGTAAATGTCATGGGATTTTGTACATCATTTACACAAGAAGGGCTTTGCTTACGGCATCCAAAACTGTAGGCTCAGGGCAGCACTGTTGTAAATAAAGGAAGTCTGCCTGAACAGGAAGTCTCACAGTGAGCTTGGTTTGGTTTTGTTGACAAAGCCGAAATGGACTTGTCAAATGTAAGCAAGGCTCTCCCCTTTGTAATTCAGTTTCAATATAATCATCATCATCATCATCCACTGCTGCATGGAGGCCTCCCCAAGCTGTCAACATCTCTCCATGAGTCTTACGATGTAATAATCCATTTAGCCTCTGCACACAAACTTATCGCATCGCTCCATCTCCCCCGGTAGATGGACTATTAGGCACAATCCCTTTCTTGGCAGTCACTCCATTGGTTCAGTCTTACTTAATTAATAATGTGAACTATTAATTTAAATGCATAAGTAATATTTCTAATTGAGTATTGCCTGGCTGTTGCATTCAACCTGGCTGAACAGTCAGGTGGTAAATACCTTGACTGGATGGTGGAGTTTATTAACCCTAATGTTTTAAGAAACTCTTCCATTGGCTCCATTTTCAGTTTTACACAATTTGACACAGTGCGATTCATATTCTTGGTTCTTTCGGTAAAGTCACGTAGAAGGGAATGTTTTTAAAAATTATTTTATTGTTTCCCTTCTACGTGACTTTACCGAAAGAACCAAGAATATGAATCTTTGCAGTCACGAAAGCTTTAAATCAAAATTTTACAGTGCGATTCCTTTGTTGGTCAGCAATTCTAAAGTTTTTTTGTTTTCATGTGTCATCTCCAACTACCACAGGCAACAGATTCCCGATCGAGACAAGAAGAAGAACAAAAAGAAAGACCGATGGAGGCGTGAACGGTCGCGAGAGTCAAAACTAAATTGTGTGTTGCTGTGACGCACCGTGCAAAGCGGAGAAGCGTTCCCGCGATTATTTATACAACACGACCAGGGGAGCGAGCAGCCATCAAATAACTTCCCCCTCCTCCCCCCCAGCCTGCTGAGAAGAGCACGAGTGTCCAGCTCGTTGTGTCTGCACATAACAAATGAATGCTCAGGTATGCGAATCAAGTTATACTTTTACGACGCCGGGCAGCGAAACACTTGTTGGTGAGATCATGATGATTTTTGTTGGCCTGCTTAGGACGGCCCCGTTTACAGCACGACTGCATGGCCACATTTGGCTTTCTCACCAGCGTCAGTGCAAAACCGCTTGGCTGCTGCTCAATAACTGTAAGCCTTCATCTCAAGGGAGGTCAAGTGGAATTTTTAATGATAATTTAAAAAAATATTTGCACAATTTTTGGCCCATAAATTACAGATGTATCAGCAAATGTCACTTTCCCTTAAATCACGTGTTTACCAAATGCCTCTGCACTTGGTGTTGTGAGAAGGCCTTCTTTTGATACATTAAGCCATGGTATCAATAGCAGAATGCTCTTTTGTACCCACAATAGTCAAACACGGCACAATAGCTGCCAAATGTTGGCACGATGAGATTAAAGTTTGTTCCCGTGAGAATCTGTGGAGAAGTTTCGATTCACCCAGTATAACGGGCACATTGTTGAATTGCATGGGTCTGCTCGGTGCGTCTAAATTGTGAGGAAAAATACAATAATGCGATTGAAGAATTCCCACATGCTTGGTTGTACGACACCTCCACAGAGCCCCATTGTACATCGTTTGGACGAACAGACGCACTGTAGCAGTTTCAAGAACACAGCGGGTCGAACTCGTCTGTCGTGCGTTCTACGGCAAACTGCCTTTTCTAAACACTAACAAGATGATCCGTGTTTCTTAACTTGCCATACATTTTTTTAAAAATTAAAATAAGAGTAACTATATGTCATACTCCGCAGCACAGCATGTTTATACGTAAACATTTGTGAAAGTATGACGGTGCACATGACTGTTTTAAATGTCTAAATGTATATTGCGCAAACCTTCCTGTTATAGAATTTTATTATTTTGTGTGCATTAGCAATTCGTTAACCGCATAGTGCATTTGCTGCTGAGATTATAATTGTAGTCGTGGTCGGCAAATCAACTGCTTGGCTTGCCTCGGATGAAAGTCCCGAACCGTGTGCCTGAGCTCAGTCAATGACATTTCAATGCACGGAGCCTACGCCATTCACCCACTGCTTGAAGAGCTCCGCGTTTGTCGAAAAGGCTGATCGAATGCCGCTTGAGCCACGGTCACGAGCCGCCGAGTCTCTTCAGCCGCCCGCACCTAATTTATCTCTGCCCAAGTGACCTTGGAGGTCACATAACCACAGCCACCACGGCGTGAGTTGGAACCTCACGGTGGCACCGTGTCGCCGTGAAAATCTGCGTGGAAGTAACTTTATATGCCCCCTCTATAGGGCAGCAAAAGAGATGACAGACAGGTTAACTGGAAGCAGTGATTGAAAAAAAACCTCGGCCAAAGTGTCTTGGCCAGATGTGAGCACTTCTGTTGATGGATGATTCCATTTATGGAAAAGCTAGCTTTTGTTTATAACTGGTGCAGATAGCTTATGGTTTAAAAAGACGGAAAGGTTAACATTTCAATGAAGTGACCTAATAGACTGTATTGGCGTGTGTGTGTACTATTGGTGTGTGTGTGTGTGTACTATTGGTGTGTGTGTGTACTTGTGGGGGAGTGGTAGTGTAACGGTGAGCGCGCTGCGCTACGAATCTGGCGACCCGAGTTTGATTCCCGCTCACGGCCAACATCAGTGACGGTTATCAGAACCGGGCCTTGGCCTCCCCTAGGTCGACTCAGCCTCAAATGAGTACCTGGTGCGATGTCTAAACATCGCTACTGGGGAGACAAAGGCGGCTAGGCGTGGTACTGGCCACCCACCCCCTCGTGTGCCGTTCTGGCCTTCATAGGTGCTTGCTAACAGCCCTTGCCCCAACAGTCTAAGGCTATACGGGGAATCTTTGTCTTTGTGTACTAAGAAAATAATGTATAATTAATGGAATATAATTATTCACATGATACATACGCAAATTTGTGCATGCGAGAATTGATTATTTGCAAATGAAATGCTAATGTTACAATGGAGTGAGCAAAACTGTACAAACAAGACAGAGCAAATGAGATCAACACAAATATTAGAAATTCATTGTGAATAATAATTCATAGTCTGAACGGAATCACAACCCCAAATTGTAAAAAAAAATCATCGTATCATTGAGAGGTGAATATGTACTCGTGTATTCTATGCAGAGCATACATTCACAAATCAATATATTACGCACATGCCACGATGCACGTACGCACGTGCTGCTGATTGGTATGCAATGGTTAAATTACAAGCAAAGTGGGAGACGTCAATCTGCCTTATTAACGATTAGTTCCATACTAATGGGTTCACCCTTTCATTATGAAGTTGATGTAATACCCCACATCTACATGTTCGCTCATTACCCTGTGAGATTGGGCAGTTTAATCGCGAGATCAGTTTCACGTTTGATTGTATAGACCGTGCCTCAGTGTCAGAAACCTCAACACCAGCTCTCTTGTTAAATAACTGTGTGGTTGTATTCATTTCTAGATTTGAGGCTTTCGTGACTGCAAGGATCCACATACTCTTTGGTTCTATTCGGTAAAGTCACGTAGGTAAAAAATAAAACAACAAAAATCACGACGTTTCAGCCACAACACAAGCGGCCTTCATCAGGTGAAGGGACCAGACTGTCTCGAAGACTGCGCTGGAGTGAAACACAGCCAAGCTCAGACTACGACCTTTAAGCTGTGTGAGAGGGATTAAGGTGCCTTGACAAAGGAATTAGCATAAAAAATTAGCATTTGATTGGCGGACTTAGCGTGATGAAAGGTGTAGCACACGGCAGTGCACCTTTAAGCTGTGTGAGAGGGATTAAGGTGTCTTGACAAAGGAATTAGCGTAAACATTAGCATTTGATTGGCGGACTTAGCATGATGAAAGGTGTAGCACACGGCAGTGCACCTTTAAGCTGTGTGAGTGGTACCCCAAACTTTCGCAGCACAGGCGGGTGCACTGCCGTGGCCGATCACTGTGCTACACCTTTCATCATGCTAAGTCCGCCAATCAAATGCTATTTTTTTTACGCTAATTCCTTTGTCAAGGCACCTTAATCCCTCTCACACAGCTTAAAGGTGCACTGCCGTGTGCTACACCTTTCATCATGCTAAGTCCACCAATCAAGTGCTAATTTCTTATGCTAATTCCTTTGTCGAGGCACCTTAATCCCTCTCACACAGCTTAAAGGTCGTAGTCTGAGCTTGGCTCTGTTTCACTCCAGCGCAGTCTTCGAGACAGTCTGGTCCCTTCACCTGATGAAGGCCGCTTGTGTTGTGGCCGAAACGTCGTGATTTTTGTTGTTTTACTTTTTTACCTACGTGACTTTACCGAATAGAACCAAAGAGTATGGTTGTATCCATCCTGTTAACATAAAAACACTTGACTCTACTCGGGATGAGTTTGGGTTTAAAATGTCAAAATTTCGGATATTTTTTTATTTCCGGATAATTTACAAGGTACAATATACCATGTCTTTGTGATAACAATAGTGAGGTTACCCGATATCACATGACACTACTTTTGAAGGCAAAAGAATGGAGGTGACTTGATATGTGATGTCATGTCCGGTGAGCATTCTTTCGGATCTAAGACAAAACACAATTTTAGATCTTCCGAAATTTCGTATCTAGGTTCAATTAAAATTTTTGTTTGGATTAATCTAACAATCTGCAACATTCCCCAAGGCTGTACTAACATGTCAGCCATTGTTACACCACGTGGCTATGAATGTGTTTTTTATTTTCCATCTAAAATCCAATGCAGTGTTAGTCGTGTTCAAGGTAAGTTTGTGTTGAGCTGTTAATTATTGTTATCGAGCAGCTCACATTTTCATCAACGTATGAGTTAAATTGCACAACTCACAGGGGTTTAACATTTCACCCCTGGAAATTCAACAGATTGTCCTGATTTCGGGCCACAATTCAAGAATCGATTTATTATTAACATTTCCTCTAGTGGCTGCAGGGGTCACGTGAACCCACTACAATATACATTTTAAAAAACAATGACTTACGCATACGTTTCGTTGCATGCATCGTGAGCTTAATAATCAATGTTAATCGATTATATCATTTCGCCATGAGCATTTCATTCGAAAAGAATGTTCTCAACAAATTTTGAGTTGTGAGCAGTTATCCTGGCCACTCGACGTGGCTTCACTGACCAGTAAGTACTAGTAACTACTCGTCACGGTCGTGCCTTCTCGATGGCGCAAAGTGGTGCCCGTCCATAGATGTCCTATTCACGTGCTTCCACTTGCCACGAGACGGCGTGGAAGATGAGGCCTAATACCCTCTGGAGCTCCCTCTAGTGGAGGACCTTTCGCCAATAGTGCTGTGAGCAATCAATTACACGGCTGCACCCTCACTTGGCAGTTTTGTGCGCCTGGGAAAAGCAATGGCATTTGCACCTCTTCTTCTTAGTCGTGTCTCCTGTCCAACCTATATAGTCTTTTCCCAATATTCTGCACAGGCCACCGCTTCTGATGTTGGCATTTCCAAATCTTAAGGAGTGCATTGTGGTGCTGCAGGGCATCTCAAGAGATGGTCAATGGTTTGCTTCTCCTGACATGCACATTGTTTGGTTGCGCAGAAGCCCCATTATTTCATGAGAGTTGCATCTGCCGAAACCCACTCTTAGTCTGTTTAGGCTCTGCCATGTGAGCCATTTGGAATTGGAGCCAGATGCGAGCTCATCACTGGAGGTGATTCCTCATATCACTTATCTACACACACACATTATTTGGTGATACTTCGTTGGCAGTGGCGCACAAACGCATAACAAAACACTCAACACATTGTGAACATCGTAGCACTGCCTTAAAAGGAATAAAACATGTGACAGGTGATGTTCCGGGCAATGGCCCTTCCAGAAAACACAAAAGGTGCCATTATGCTATCGTGTGCTATGAAGAAGAGCCATTGCCCAAAACGTCGCCTGCTATATATTTTCCTTTTATCGCACAAAGTACAAGCATGTATTCGCTCTGCGACAGCCGTTGCTGTGAGCACCTCGTGCTGACATTGCGCCACGTTGCTGGCCACACTTGTGCAATATGACCTCTGGCAACCAGAGGCTCCAATTCTAACTGGGATGAGGAATGATCTCACTGCGCCTTTCTTCCGAAAAGCCTCGCAGTGAGCTGTACCAGCCAGCGGTGGCTCAGCAAAAATCCATCGTGTGCAGGCCCCCCCCCCCTCTCCTGAGACCTATCAGCCACACATACTCTGGTAAATTTGTAAATACAATGATGAATGTGGCTGATTGCTGTTCATTCCTCCATATCTGTCCACCCAGCAGTATAAATAAATGGGCACACCAGTTTATTCAGTCGGCCGGGTAATTGATCATTGTGGAAGAGTAAGCCACTATACTGTCTAGAGAGTGCCTGTAGAGCTCTCTCTAGTGGAGGCGCTTCTGCCACCAGCGGCATCCGCAAGCACTCGCAGGGCTGCACCTTTACCACTATTTGTTATTTAAGTGAGTTTTAAAAAGCCACTATTGACAACCATGCTGACCTTAGTGTGACTGCCAGGGAAGGGCTCTAGCGAAAGATGTATTTTCTAAATGTCCCTTTTGATCGAGTGTGGCTTTTGACTGCTTTGCAGTCTGATCACATCACAGGATGGGATATAATCTGAGTGTAGCCACCCACGAGCGAGTCAAGTTTTCTCTGTTGTATTTGACTATTTAATTGTGGACGAATGTACGCAACTATATTTCTATAAGTAATTATCTGGCTACGTTAGGTCATCTTCTCTTCGTAAACCTTTGAATCCATTTCGAAGTCATGCTTAAACCATACGTATTCTCCCAACACTCAAGAACACCCCCTATCCCGCTTTTCACCCTTGTTGTGGCTAGATACAAGCTATAGAGCCACGTGTTTCAATTAATAATATTCGCCTTCACAAAATTCAAATTCTCTCTACGTATTGTACTGCATAAACACCCAAAAGCTACGAACATGACTAATTGTGTCGTTGATTAATGAGAAATTATGGGTTGTGCTTCCTATTCTTATCCTAGGACATTGCCCCTGGTGCAATGGTTATCACACTGGACTAGCAATCCAGAGGTCGCCGGTTCTATTCCATCTCTTGGAGTGGCCGTTCAAACAATGGGCACATTTATTAACCCCCCTCAACCTCTGTCCTCCCAACCGTATATGTACTCTACTATAAATAGGAATGCCACATTTAATCAGCAGGTTACGTTTAGTGGGGTAAAGTGTGGATACTCCCACCACGACGTTTCGTTAGCATGGAAGAGTAGGATAAATACCCTCGAGTGGAGGCCCTTCTGTCAGCAGTGACATGAGCAAGCACTTTCAGAGCTCGACCTTTGCCTTTTCTAAACCCAAGAAGGATAAAATGCAATGGACAATACAATTTGGATTTAATGTGTATACTGTGGAAATGTTACCGCATCTCAAAGGTTATTCCTGGCTGATAACCCCGTGGATGGAATTACAGGGTTGGCTTTATAGCCGCTTAACCAACTTCCACTTAACATTCTTAGGGATAAAATGTATGTGTTTTTCTCATTAACAAGACCTCACAATTGCAAGTAGAACACAGTGCATTACACACAATCTACTACTGCATTCTTCCTGCTGCTATTCACATTAGGTGGACACCTGTGAA